TTGAAAGAAAAATCCCTGCAGCATTTCAGATACTGTATAAAAATCTTTGTTCTCCTCAAGCTAAATTTGTCAGCTGTCCCAGAACTGCATGCTGTGGTTCTGTTCATCCATAGACCATTTTTCTTAAGCAGCCTCTATTTTACTCCCAGCTTGGAACTGAACCAGATGGATTTTTCTTTCAACACAACTAAGGGGAGCAAAACCCAGAGAAAGATTTACTTAATAAAAGGAGAGAGGGATTTGCTTGCTAAAAGGTGCCAATGAAGATCTTTCATCCAACCAGTCTAATAATAAATGAAGAACACAAACTACCTGCAATCAAATCATAAATAGCCTCACTGGATAACTTCCCCAGGATACGCAATATCCATGACTACATTGCACACAATTCTTTTATCTCCAATTTATTGGTAAGCTCCCCCCATACCTTTGTAATATAGAGGATCCCATTCATCGGGATGATAATGAATTAACATTAGTTCCTATTCTCTCTTCCATTCAGGCTCCACTGATAAAACACTTTTCAATCATAATAACATCTCAGCTTTTAGTAGCTGCAGGGAGTTATTCTAGATGTATAGTTTCCGTCTGAGTTTGTGTACATAAATCTTGCTCCTGTCAGTTACTCATTCAGAATCATCAGGATCCATTATAAATCAAAATCAGACAAACTGATGCTTCTTAATCAAGAGGGGTTTTTTTTTAAAAGTTTTTTTACTCGCCTCTTCCAAGATAATAAGGTAGCGGCTTGGTACCAAAAGACTAAGAGTGAAGGAATACAAAGGACATTGTTCAAAAAGCCATTGTGATGTAAATAAGGTAAGAGTTGGGTGAAGCACTACAATGAGTATTTTTAGTTTTTAATTTGGACATATTCAACTCTGACCTTCAACAAAAGAAGAACTTCAATACATTTAAATCCCATACGTTTAGCAAGAGAGGTGTTTACGAGTTTTCCTTCAGTCTTCCTCTCTCGATGCATTACAGAAAATAGCTACCTACAGCAGGGTAAACTTTTAGCCCCACTTAAATTTGGGTAAGAACCTGGCCGCTATAATGGGTAGGAGGGTGATGCAAACAGGAAGGGGTGGGATTTGTTTGTTGTTGGGGGAGTTGTACTAGCCTTAACAGAAGAGGTTTTAACTCTTTCTCTGATCCTTTCTGCTGTGGGAAGCCAACGTTTGCATTTAAAGTTTCCACATGTTTGATGATGCCTTAAGGGGGCAGAAGAAGGCAACTTGAATTTTCAGTGATTACAGTCAAAGAGTGTCAAAAAAAAAAAAAAGCGGGTCTTAAAGTTGCATGCAGATTTCAGCGTTATGATAAACCCACTTTTGGTTCAGAGATTGGAGTTTCTTCACTGTAGCTGTTTTGGCAGTCTTATCGATATTTTTAGGGCTTAGGAGTGTTATATGTCTTTACACAGTCATTTCTGCATTCCTTCCCTTAATATCTGCACGCCTTTATCTTATACTGTGACAAGGTCTCATTATGTCTTCACCCGCATCTCTGATCACAGCTATGCCCAGCATTGCCATTAAGGAAGAGGAGGAGGAAATATATCACAGGACTGCCATTTTCACCCACCTTTCCCTCCTGAATGTTGACCTCCCCCGGATCGCCTTCAGGCAATTCATTTAAAATAACCCAGACAATTTTTGCCATGTAATGCCAACCTATGTTCTGAAAACCAGGTGCTCATTTCAGAGGACATTTCATTCCTTTTCCCACTCGGGGAAGAAATAAATCCCATCATTTCCCAAGAAAAGTGACATCCCTACCAAGAACGGTCAGCCGGGCTGGTCTGGAACGGATGGCCGCTTGAATGGCTTGGCACTCATATACCGCATCATCTTGGAGATCTGCTCTCAGGATCTTCAGGTGATGCTCCCCTGAGAGGTGATCCCCCACAACCAAATAACGTGGATAACCTGTGGAGCACAAAATGGAACCAGATTTGGGGCTAATAAGTAGCAAAAATACATCAAATTCTCCCCCCCCCCCCTCAATCAAGAAGAA